TAAAGAAATAAATGAGAAATATATGCAACAGCAAATTCTATTAGAGAAAACATTACAAGATATGGAGCGGAAATTACAGGCAAATTCTGCTAAAACAACAAGAATGTCAACAACACAACAAATGGAGAAAATTTTGCAGCAAAAAGGTTGATGAAGCCAAAAAATGAGGAGAAGAATGGAAAATATAATAATTATATTATTCCAATTATTCAAAATGCATATTTACAATCAAACGCTGCATTGAATAATGACAATTAAATAATATTAATAAACATTGAAATATTGGTCGTATAAAGTATGTAGTATGTATATATTCTGTGTCCTGATTAAACGATCTGTCCGTCTGTCTGTTGAAATCACGATAGGGAACACACGGGATAAGCTAAACAGTTAAAATGTTGCATAAATATTCTCTATTAATAAGGTTTGTTTGGTATTAAAAATAAACAATATCGGTCTACGATTTCGCTTAGCACCTCGAAATATAGTTTAAAGAGTCAATAATTAGTTGATGTATAACTATCAATCGTGATAAAATATTGCTCAATTTAGTTTTATGTAACCAAAAATTATATTTTAATGTATGGTGGACCCTACTTCCCACATAAGGTCAATTTCTGAAAATCACTTTAACGCTCAAAACTGGCTTAATAATACAAGTAAAGCTACGAAATTCGACATAAACAAGTTTTATATAAGAAAAATCACTGCAATCAATTTATGAAGACCGCTTCATAATTGACCTTACCTCCCATATAAGGTCCCCCTCACAAAATCACTTTACCTACTTTATATGTAGATTATAATTTTTATAAAAGAAACGCTTAGTCCGCATACGATCCGTATGTGAAATAAATACGCAAAGTTCTATAAAAATCAAACCAAATAAATCGATTTAATTTAATGGATAATTCTCTCAAAAGAAGACTAGAATATCCACTCCTAAAGTATGTTAATGCTAAATTATTGAAGTAATATTTTAGGGCACCTATTCCACTTAAGTTATATTTTTACAATATCTACATGCTGTTAAATAATATTAAATTTAAATAAATTTAATCACTTACAAATATAATTATGTGGTTTTATTGTGATAAGCAAATATTATTATTTGGAGACTACAAATAAAACAAAGTAAAATGGCGAGTATATTGATGCTGTCATTCTGTTTGTAACACATAAAAATTTTAGTTGTATGCGCACAAAAGCTGGGTCCTTACAAAATTTACTACTAACGTAATATAAGTATAAATAACAAATAGTTCTAGTCCAGTTCTAGTTCAGTTCTAGTTAGGTTCTAGTTCAGTTTTTGTTCAGTTCTAGTTCAGTTCTAGTTCAGTTTTAGTTCAGTTCTAGTTCAGTTCTAGTTCAGTTCTACTTCAGTTCTAGTTCAGTTCTAGTTCAGTTCTAGTTCAGTTCAAGTTCTAGTTCAGTTCTAGTTCAGTTGTTCAGTTCTAGTTCAGTTCTAGTTCAGTTCTAGTTCTTTCTAGTTCAGTTCTAGTTCAGTTCTAGTTCAGTTCTAGTTTCAGTTCTAGTTCAGTTCTAGTTCAGTTCTAGTTCAGTTCTAGTTCAGTTCTAGTTCAGTTCTAGTTCAGTTCTAGTTCAGTTCTAGTTCAGTTCTAGTTCAGTTCTAGTTCAGTTCTAGTTCAGTTCTAGTTCAGTTCTAGTTCAGTTCTAGTTCAGTTCTAGTTCAGTTCTAGTTCAGTTCTAGTTCAGTTCTAGTTCAGTTCTAGTTCAGTTCTAGTTCAGTTAGTTCAGTTCTAGTTCAGTTCTAGTTCAGTTCTAGTTCAGTTCTAGTTCAGTTCTAGTTCAGTTCTAGTTCAGTTCTAGTTCAGTTCTAGTTCAGTTCTAGTTCAGTTCTAGTTCAGTTCTAGTTCAGTTCTAGTTCAGTTCTAGTTCAGTTCTAGTTCAGTTCTAGTTCAGTTCTAGTTCAGTTCTAGTTCAGTTCTAGTTCAGTTCTAGTTCAGTTCTAGTTCAGTTCTAGTTCAGTTTAGTTCAGTTCTAGTTCAGTTCTAGTTCAGTTCTAGTTCAGTTCTAGTTCAGTTCTTGTTCAGTTCTAGTTCAGTTCTAGTTCAGTAGGTCAGTTCTAGCTAGGTCAGTTCTAGTTCAGTTCTAGTTCAGTTCTAGTTCAGTTCTAGTTCAGTTCTAGTTCAGTTCTAGTTCAGTTCTAGTTCAGTTCTAGTTCATTCTAGTTCAGTTCTAGTTCAGTTCTAGTTCAGTTCTAGTTCAGTTCTAGTTCAGTTCTAGTTCAGTTCTAGTTCAGTTCTAGTTCAGTTCTAGTTCAGTTCTAGTTCAGTTCTAGTTCAGTTCTAGTTCAGTTCTAGTTCAGTTCTAGTTCAGTTCTAGTTCAGTTCTAGTTCAGTTCTAGTTCAGTTCTAGTTCAGTTCTAGTTCAGTTCTAGTTCAGTTCTAGTTCAGTTCTAGTTCAGTCTGTTCAGTTCTAGTTCAGTTCTAGTTCAGTTCTAGTTCAGTTCTAGTTCAGTTCTAGTTCAGTTCTTAGTTCAGTTCTAGTTCAGTTCTAGGTCAGTTCTAGTTCAGTTCTAGTCAGTCTAGTTCAGTTCTAGTTCAGTTCTAGTTCAGTTCTAGTTCAGTTCTAGTTCAGTTCTAGTTCAGTTCTAGTTCAGTTCTAGTTCAGTTCTAGTTCAGTTCTAGTCAGTTCTAGTTCAGTTCTAGTTCAGTTCTAGTTCAGTTCTAGTTCAGTTCTAGTTCGTTCAGTTTTCTAGTTCAGTTCTAGTTCAGTTCTAGTTCAGTTCTAGTTCATTTCTAGTTCAGTTCTAGTTCAGTTCTAGTTCAGTTCTAGTTCAGTTCTAGTTCAGTTCTAGTTCAGTTCTAGTTCAGTTCATAGTTTCAGTTCTAGTTCAGTTCTAGTTAGTTCTAGTTCAGTTCTAGTTCAGTTCTAGTTCAGTTCTAGTTCAGTTCTAGTTTCAGTTCTAGTTCAGTTCTAGTTCATTCTAGTTTCAGTTCAGTGCAAGATTCTAGTTCAGTTCTAGTTCAGTTCTAGTTCAGTTTCTAGTTCAGTTTCAGTAGTTCTAGTTTCTAGTTAGTTCTAGTTCAGTTCTAGTTCAGTTCTAGTCAGTTCTAGTTCAGTTCTAGTTTTAGTTCTAGTTCAGTTCTAGTTCAGTTCTAGTTCAGTTCTAGTTCAGTTCTAGTTCAGTTCTAGTTCAGTTCTAGTTCAGTTCTAGTTCAGTTCTAGTTCAGTTCTAGTTCAGTTCTAGTCAGTTCTAGTTCAGTTCTAGTTTCAGTTCTAGTTCAGTTCTAGGTCAGTTCTAGTTCAGTTCTAGTCAGTTCTAGTTCAGTTCTAGTTCAGTTCTAGTTCAGTTCTAGTAGTAGTCAGTTCTAGTTCATTTCTAGTTCAGTTTAGTTCAGTTCTAGTTTCAGTTCTAGTTCAGTTCTAGTTCAGTTCTAGTTCAGTTCTAGTTCAGTTCTAGTTCAGTTCTAGTTCAGTTCTAGTTCAGTTCTAGTTCAGTTCTAGTTCGTTCTAGTTCAGTTCTAGTTCAGTTCTAGTTCAGTTCTAGTTCAGTTCTAGTTCAGTTCTAGTTCAGTTCTAGTTCAGTTCTAGTTCAGTTCTAGTTCTAGTTCTAGTTCAGTTCTAGTTCAGTTCTAGTTCAGTTCTAGTTCAGTTCTAGTTCAGTTCTAGTTCAGTTCTAGTTCAGTTCTAGTTCAGTTCTAGTTTCAGTTCTAGCTTCAGTTCTAGTTCAGTTCTAGTTCAGTTCTAGTTCAGTTCTAGTTCAGTTCTAGTTCAGTTCTAGTTCAAGTTCTAGTTCAGTTCTAGTTCAGTTCTAGTTCAGTTCTAGTTCAGTTCTAGTTCAGTTCTAGTTTCAGTTCTAGTTCAGTTCCTAGTTCAGTTCTAGTTCAGTTCTAGTTCAGTTCTAGTTCAGTTCTAGTTCAGTTCTAGTTCATTCTAGTTCAGTTCTAGTTCAGTTCTAGTTCAGTTCTAGTTCAGTTCTAGTTCAGTTCTAGTTCAGTTCTAGTTCAGTTCTAGTTCAGTTCTAGTTCAGTTCTAGTTCAGTTCTAGTTCAGTTCTAGTTCAGTTCTAGTTCAGTTCTAGTTCAGTTCTAGTTTCTAGTTCAGTTCTAGTTCAGTTCTAGTTCAGTTCTAGTTCAGTTCTAGTTCAGTTCTAGTTCAGTTCTAGTTCAGTTCTAGTTCAGTTCTAGTTCAGTTCTAGTTCAGTTCTAGTTCAGTTCTAGTTCAGTTCTAGTTCAGTTCTAGTTCAGTTCTAGTTCAGTTCTAGTTCAGTTCTAGTTCAGTTCTAGTTCAGTTCTAGTTCAGTTCTAGTTCAGTTCTAGTTCAGTTCTAGTTCAGTTCTAGTTCAGTTCTAGTTCAGTTCTAGTTCAGTTCTAGTTCAGTTCTAGCTCTAGTTCAGTTCTAGCTCTAGTTCAGTTCTAGCTCTAGTTCAGTTCTAGTTCAGTTCTAGTTCAGTTCTAGTTCAGTTCTAGTTCAGTTCTAGTTCAGTTCTAGTTCAGTTCTAGTTCAGTTCTAGTTCAGTTCCCCTTAAAACACTAATTCCAAATAATACACCAAAAAAAGTAGTTCCCATGACCAAATCAACTAATTCAAAATAATAATTTAATATTGATAGAAAAAGAGTATAAAATGGAAAAAGTAGTAGTGGTTCGCTGCAGTCACTCTGAATGTTAAAACCATTTATCAAAAAATATAATCAAAACTTTTAAAAAGAACTATGACCTATTCCTATACACATAATACATACGTATATAACTAAGTCTTTCGCATATAATAACAGAAACCCAATTCTGAAAAAATTATTTCAATTTTTGTTTTTTAAAAGAAATAACTTGAAAATGCGCTTGGTGGCTACACTTTATCAAATAGTTGCGGTTTTAATAATTTCGAGAATAAATGGAATCTATACCAGTGGTAAAATTTATACCACAGCAACTAATAAACAGTACTTTATAAATCCCGATCAAAGGTTAGCTAGAAAATTTTAATTTTTACTAAAATATTTTAATTGTAACTTTTAAATGTTAAATATTTTAGTACACTTGGTTCGATGGCCTTAGTGAATGTTTAAAAATGAACATGACGTTGGTGTCAATTGAAACACAACATAAATCGGAGGAAATAAATACTCTAGTAAAAAGTATTTTTAATAAAAATGTTATTCTCTGGGTTGGAGGCATTTTAACCCATTACCCCGATGCACGTAACTATATATGGATAAGTACAGGGGAAAAATTCAGTTATACCTTTTGGAAACATCAAAATCCAGATTTTTCTCTCAATAATGAGTATTGTATACAATTGGTTTCTGCCTCAAATATGGAATGGAATGATAATGTATGTGAAGTTAAATATGGTTTCATATGTGAATATACCCGAGAAAGTTTTAAGGTGCAGCAATATAAGAATGAACTGGAACGAAAATCTCCAGAAATGTCAACAAGATTTAAAAGACATATTGATCTTAGAGATAACTTTAAAATGGTGGCCAAAGAAACTCCAAGATTTGCAAGAAGAACTGGTGAAACTTAAGAAAGAATTACAAAAATTAACAATGAAAATGTTTTAAAGAGAAAAGAGTTATCAGCAGAAAACACAAATTTACAGGATCTACAAAAACATCAACTAGAATTGGGGGAACAATTACAGAAAGAAGCTAGAAATTTACATGAAGCTTTGCAAAAACAACAAGAATGGCATAATTTTATTGCAAAAAAATTACAACCTCTAGAACCGGAAGAAGTCAAGAAAATGAGGAGAAACATCGAAAATATCGTCCAATTAGTTTTCAATTTAATCAAAATACTTATCTATTGTCAAATGCACAATTTCATGAAAATGGCAATAATTAATAAAACAGAAAATCTAAAATATATTATCAAACTGTAAAAAGAGAAAAATATTTTGTCAAAGGTGAACTACTTAACACTTTCTTTAAACGTTCCACAGTGGTATAGAAAACAACTTAGAGTCTATGTTGAATGCTCTATTTCTAGGTTGAATATTATAGAAAATTTAAAAAGTACCCTTTGAAGAACGAAAAAGTAACAAAAGTTCCCTTTTATAGGTTCTCATTTACTCCGGGCTCTACATGCTTAATTGCATGTTTCTAGACAACAACAACAACACACAGCTTCATTCTTGCTCTGCTTTGCAAAACTAAGTACAAGAACAAAATTTAACATATGATGCTGTGTGTTGTTGTTGTTTATTATTATTGTTGTCTAAGCATGCGCCAAAAATCTAAATTTTTTATGAAATTTTCAGAGGTTGTCCTCGGATTTTGCTGATGTATGACAGAATTTTTGATGACTTGAGTTCCGAGATATCTGGGGTCTTTAGATATTTTATTTCAACAACATACAGACGGACGTACGGACGAACATTGCTTAATGACTATAGGGTAACTTCAAAAAATTTCAAACAAAAAAGTAGGATTTTGAACATGACCCCCATCGATTTTGATGAAAAAAGGTGGGGGTTATATTGATTTTGACATTCCGTTTGTAACACATCGAAATATTGGGCATTGACCCACAAAAGTATATATATTCTGGGTCCCTATTAAATTCTTAGACGATCTAGCCATGTCCTTCCATCCGTCCGCCTGTCTGTCCGTCCGTCTGTCTGTGTGTCTGTTGAAAACACGATAGAGTCCGAACGAAGAGAAATTTGGTATTGAAAATGGGCAATATCGGTCTACGTTTCGGATAGCCCCCATACAAGTGGATCCATGAAAAACCGCTTTAATGGGCATATCTGTTTCAAAGTAACGAGTATAGCGATGAAATTCCACACACATAGTTTCAATGTAGCCAAAATCTCTCTATCAACTTTTATGTCGATCGGTTCCATAGTTAACCCTACCCCCATATAAGGTTCCCTTCAAAAAATTAGTTTAACGCTCATTACTGGCTAGTATATGAATGAAATTTGACATAAGTAAGTCTCTTATGATCCAAAACCGTTCTACCAAATTTTATAGGGATTGGTCCATAATTGACCCCATATAAGGTCCCCTTCAGAAAATGACTTTAACGCTCATTACTGGCTTAAAAATATGAGTATAGTGATAAAATTTAACAACACATAAGTGTCATATGATCCAAAATCTCCCTACCCTAATTTTATGTTGATCGGTTTATAATTGACCCCTACCCCCCATACAAGGTCGCCTTCATAATATGACTTTAACGCTTATTACTGGCTTTAAAAATACGAGTATAGTGATGAAATTCGACACACATAAGTTTTCAATGAAGCCAAAATCTCTCTGGTCAAACTTTATGTGGATCGGTCCATAATTGACCCTACTCCCCATATATGGTGCCCGTCAAAAAATTACTTAAACGATCATTACTGGCTTATACGAGTTAAAACCTCTCTAACAATTGTATTGAGGATCGGTCCATAAGAAAATTACTTTAACGATCTTTGCTGACTTAAAAATACGTGAACACTTATGAAATTTTATATAATGAAACATTATAGAAACGTAAATCTTTTCTACCGAATATCATGCGGAAGTGGTCGGGAAATGATATTCGATGTAAAGATGTTTTGTATGAACCAAAATTGATCTAAAAAAATTTATGAAAAACGGTCAATTATTAACCCTATCTCTCATATAAAGGTCCCTCTTCAGTTAATTTGATAGGTAATATCAACATGATGTTTATAGGGGAGCATTCCTTTTAATGCATACGGTTTGATGGTGGGTATATGAAATTCGGCACAGCCAAATATAATACTCTCACTTGTTATAAACACGAAGTTTAAAGTTCTCCAAAATTTATAAATTCGTTACGGTTTAGATTTTATCGAGGTTCGAAGTTCATATTTTTTTGGATTTTTTTCAACAAGCATTAAGTTTAACATCGTATATTTTCTAAACTATCTATCCGATATTAATCGTTTAAGTCCCTAATTAATGTCTATGTCTTGTAGTTCAACAATACTTTGTTAAATATTATAGTTTTAAAATAAGGATAATGATATTAAACAAGTTAGAGTGCTATATTCTATCTTAAACCTGTAAGCTACTTTTGAAGAAAACCCATCTAAATAGCTAACTAATTAGAAGTAACTTAAGGAAGTGGGAGTGATTTGTATATATAAAAACTTTTTATGGGAATTTTAGTCCGATTATTTATCAATGAATATGCGATTTTAAGAGATGGATCTTATATCCGTTTACGTGGTTATCGGAAGTGGTCCTCATATGAGAGCTATGACCAATTATGGACCGATCCGGAAAAAGTTTGGTAGTATCATATAAGTATACACAAAACGCTATTTGTGACGAATATTATTCTCCTATCCTTATTTCTTAATTAGTTAGGTGCCTTTAAGTGAATTTCGGAAGTGGACCTTATATGGGAGCTATGACCAATTATGGACCAATCCGGAAAATATTTCTCAGGCTGGTTTATATGTTCTTTAAACACTTTCATGACAATTTTTTTTTACCGATATCTTTATTCAGTAATAAAAAATGTCCGTTTACGTGATTATCGAAAGTGGGCCTTTTATGGGAGCTATGACCGATGGACCGATCCGAATAAAATTAAGTAGAGTCGTATATGTATACATAAAACACTGTTTATGTCGAATATTATTCCAATATCTTTATTTCTTAATATTTCTTAATAAGTTATGTGCATTTAAGTGATTTTCGGAAGTGGACCTTTTATGTGAGCTATGACCAATTATGGTCCGATATAGATCTTAGTTGGTAATATTCATTTTTTCAGAAAACCCATATAAATAGCTTTAGATATTCCGTGATGAGGATTTACAAACATATATGTATATACATATATGGCGAACATTTTTTATAATTGGATCCATTTAACTCTAATTTTCGAATATGGATATATTTGGTTCACATAAGATCGCTTTTATGTGGATTTAAAATTATTCTAAACTATTGTAAACCTTAACGGTTTAAGACAATGAATTAAAAAAAAATTATCTTGATATTTTCTACTGTTCCACAGCTTCTTCACTTTCGACATTTTCATTTGTTTGCGATTTTGTAAATTTTTTCTGTAAAATTTCCAACAATTTAAATTTTTGTTTTTGTAACATTTTAAAAACTGTTGTGCCTCCTTTATATCCGTTTGCTCATCCACCACCTGTTGTTCTTGTTGAAAATTCTTTCTTAAGTTCCTCCTGTTGTTGCTGATTTGATGAAACGTTCTTGCTGTAATTTTTCACGCCTTATTATGTATATGCTTAAGTTCTCTTTAAGCTGATCATGATCTTGCACTTCTGTCGCAATGCATTCAAACTTTTTGTTATTTCCTGTAAATTTTCAGTACTTGCGCATTGTTATGCTTTAACCCTACTAGTTCGTTTTGTTCACAGATTAAACCGTATTTGTATGATAACTCATTCCATTCCATATCAGAGCCCCAACCGATTTCCACACAATATTCATTGTTTGTTAGTAAATCAGGATTATTAACCTTCCAATAGGTGTAATTGAATTGCTGACCTGTTGCCATCCATGTATAGTTAAGTTTATCAGAATTACGGATCATAATACCACCCACCCATACAACTGTACTACTTCTATATAAATACCTACTTTACGATTTTTGAAGATTCTAGCTCTTACAGTTTCCCAAATGTACGAATTGTTGTATTTGATTCATATGAGAGGTGCCAACTCATATTGATAGTCCGCCAATTAATTACCCAAATTTTCACATGGATTTCAGAGTTCTTCGTTCAAAATTTAAGGATTCTAACTTCAATAGTTCCCCAGATAAACGGATTTTAGTATTTAATTCATATGGGAGGTGCCCACGCCCTCTATTGCTAGTCCGCCCGTTTTTTGGTCCTAAACATTCATGTTGATATTAAAGTGTCTCGGAAAAACTGAGGACTCTGGCTGTTATATTTTCTCAGATATACTAATTTAAGATTTTCTTTATATAGGAGCTGCCACGCCCACTGTTGCAGTTTCTGAGACATGCAACTTTTACTACTTATTTTGTATGTGGGCGTAGCCTTATTTAACCGCGGTACTTTAGAACCACCGGGTGAGCTATTAGAAGACCGAATGACAAGTTCTTACTTACAGAGAACACACGTAAGTGTGGTAAGTCTGGTACGAATCGAGTAAAACCTTAAACATATGTATGTACCTTGACAAGGAAGGAAAATTCAATGGTATCACTTGTACAAGATACTTTACATCTGTCAACTATTCAACCCAGTACATTTATCATTTATACGACACATTCATTGAGAAAAAACATGAATGTGTCATTCACTCTAGATATACGGGTGGGTGAGGCCCGCATACCTCTACATCCATCCCGTATCATATACACTTGACACAAACTCATTTCCAATGCTTAGCACCTCAGTCATATAACTGCGGGTATCTGTTGTCTTTTCGGTAACAGCACCAAACTTATCCCGAAATAAAATTTCAGATTTCTGTCCTTTAACCAATATTGTCTTCCCGTGAGTTTGGCTTTAAACCACAGCTACGTATATTCGCAATGAAATTGATTAAG